ATGTCCCCTCCACCTCCCACCACTCCTCAGGCCGCAGGACCACCCCCCATGGGCAAACCCACAGCCATTGCCTCAGCCATCCTTGCTGGCTCATCCACCAATAGGAAGAAGAAGGTCCTCAGGCCATCTCCGGACTCAGAGAACAGGTGAGGGACATCATCACCTTTACTACCACCAGCATTTTTGTTATTATTATTATTATTGTTGTTATTATTATTATTATTATTATTATTATTATTATTATTATTGATTTTGATTTATTTATTCATTTATTTATTTTTATTTATTTATTATTTTTTATTATAATAATAATTATTATTTTTTATTATAGTTATTGTTATTATTTTTGTTATTATTATTATCATTACAGTCATTATCATTGTCATCTTCATTGTCATCGTTGTCGTCACTGTTGTTATTAGGATTGTTATCATTGTTATTATTATTACTATTACTGTTACTATTACTATTACTATCACTATTACTATTACTATTACTATTATTACTATCGTTACCAATGCAATACGTTCATCATCAGGACAATGATTTTTAATGTGCTGACAAAGATAACTCATGAATTACTCAACCACTTTTTTTTTTTTCATGACCAGAGTAGATGAAAAGGGGAAGACAAATTTCAAGTAAATTCATAGTATGAAAAAAAAATCTTAAAAATCATTTAGAAATATCATCACATTATTCTACATATAGATACAAAATATTAATGTTGCAGTTAAGAATTACAAATAAAAAGTATTGCTTGAGTCCTTGAGTCCCATTGATTATGTGGAAATAATATATCCCCCCTCCTCCCCTTTCTTTTGCAGATACCTCGCTATTTCGGCAGGGAAACGCAAGCGAGGGCGTGAGCGCAGCGTGGAGTGGTGTGCGGGTCAACAGGTTTCGGGGGTCGGCGTCACGGGTCCTCTTCTAGTCACTACCACAGCCTCCGGGTTCACCGCACCTCGACGCAGACCAGCAACGAAGACAGCATGGAGTACGATTATTCTGATGATGCCAACATGTCAGTTACGCTGTCGCTGAGGCGCATTTTTTTTCTTTTCTCTTTGCAGTAGATTTTTTTTTTCTTTACTTTGATGAAAAATATTGTATAGTTATTTTTAACTGTAGACTTTCCTTTTTCTTTCATCTGTTTATAGGTGAATAGAAAAACACTCTACCATGTTGATACTATGGTAGAAAAACCCACACTCACACTCACACTCACACTCACACTCACACTCACACTCACACTCACACTCACACACACACACACACACACACACACACACACACAACACACACACACACACACACACACACACACACACACTCACACTCACACTCACACACACACACACACACACACACACACACACACACACACACACACACACACACACACACACACACACACACACACACACACACACACACACACACACAGACACACACACAGACACACACACAGACACAGACACACAGACACAGACACAGACACAGACACAGACACAGACACAGACACACACAGACACACACAGACACACACAACACACACAGACACACACACACACACACACACACACCACACACACACACACACACAACACACACACACACAACAACACACACACACACACAGACACACACACACACACACACACACACACACACACACACACACACACACACACACACACACACACACACACACACACACACACACACACACACACTCTATCTCTCACTCTCTCTCTCTCTCACACTCTCTCACACTCTCTCACACTCTCTCACACTCTCACCTCACATACAAATGCTTTGTTGTATGAAGATATATAGGTTGGTTCCTGTGTTACAATATTAACAAGAATGATTTGTGAAAAGGAGCAAAAAACAAACTGCATAAATGTAGTCTGCTCGTATTTGCTTCTTGTTTATAAATGTCCATACAGATCTATATTAATGTACATATCTACATATGTGTACATGTATATGTAAATAAGTGCATACATGAGAACCTATGTGTAATAAAAGGGTTAGAAAGTTTTTGATTTCAGAGAAACATTTTTTTGTTGTGTTTTGTTTGCCAAAGAAATTATATGCTGATTACTGAAATTACGAAGAAGCAAATCTTAAGAAAATTATAAGCTATTCAGTTACAATTACATTATAGGATAAACCAATGAATGCATATTGATATAACAAATGTCATCACTGAGAAATAAACAACACTTCCTATAAGGACATCCATTATCACATCATATCACATGGTATTTATTTTAACTCACTGGAATTATGATTTCCAAGCCCTCCTACTGTTCCCTGTTATTGTGAGTCCTGTACACATTTATTTGACAGCAAGACCTTATGTTCACTGCAAAGACTCTGAGAAGCTTCTACAGTGAAATAAAATTTTCAATGAAATGAGTCTTACGCCTATTTATATACAGCAAACCTCGTGTTCACTGTCTCAAATATGGTATCCTAAGTTTGTTATGAATTTACATGATATTTTCTTTGATGTGATATTAGTTATGACATAAGTTACATTATGTGAATGTTAATTGGTCCAATACTATAGTTTTATTTGATCAGTGAATTTAAGTTACAGATACTGAAACCAGAAAAAGTAATATGTATTGATCATGCTATATTTCACAGTTACCTTTAGAAAACAGTGGATTATAATGATTAACTTTTCTTTTGAAAATTTATTCAAGATAAAAAAAATAGATAAAGATTTGCTACCTGTTTATGCTTTATTACAAAACCTTAAAGTTACATATATGGTGTTCATGTCAAATTTGAGTCATATCTATCATATTTCTTATTAGAGAAATTTGCAGTTATTTTAAACTTAATTTTAAGTACTAGATCATTTGCAGTTTGAGTGTACAAGTGTTTGATGAAAATTTAAGGTATTCATCACTTTAGCTGCTTAAAGCTAATAGTGACATGAAAGAAATGATGTTGCTAATATTGGAGAAAGATGAGCTCCTTCTGATGGGTGGGTGGTACAGATTATGTCCAGCGCTGCTATGGCGTATGAAGCCATCTGCTGTGAATGGATGGATGAAAGAAAAGTTCTTTGGGCAGCACATGTATATATACTTTTACTCTTGGGATTGCCTACTTATCCCCTATGATTTGCATGATGTGACCATCACATTATGAAAAAATTTGGCTCAAGGGAGTTTTGTTATCGCACACCAGTGTTCATGTTCGCTTGGCCTACAACCCACACACTTATCAGAGTGGCTGCTCAAAAAGCCTAATGTCTGTATTTTGGGCCATGTGATGGCAGTAAAGCATCCAGATCTACTAAATAAATAATTGGTTGATAATAATGCCATGATGTAGATGTGACTTATGTGTGACAGGGCTGAGAATTGTTTCCCAAGTGGCTAATAGGGTCCTTTACTTTTCCAGGGAGCATAGCAGCAGTGAGAGCAGTACAGAGAGTGAGGCGGGCATCTATACTTGTGATGAAGGACGTGAGGCTGATGATGAGCAGAGTGACTGGTTTGCTGAGCCTGATCCAGTCTATGGGGTCCTGGCTCAGCTAACCCTACCAGGCAGAGGGCTGCGTCTAACCGCCTTTCGTGGTGGAATGAGAATGAGTTCAGTCTTTCGTCTTCAGCCAGGTACTGTGGAAGGGTTAGAGGCCGGGTAGGGGTGGTGTGTGTGCGCACCTTCGAGCTGGAGCCTCAGCTCCTCTTTACACCTCGTACTGTGCAACAGAACCTCCAGTGCAAGATTTTTGCTGATTTGTGTTCTTTTTTTCTTTTGTGTGTCACTCTTTAAGTCTTACTAGTTCCCTTGCCTTTTTCTTTCATTCTTATTATATTTCTTCTGTATTTTTTTTTTCTCTTTCTGTTTCATTTTCATTTTTTTCTCCCCTGGCAATAGAGTAAACTTACGATAAAACCCATTTTGCATTCTGTTTGTGTATTTTCGTTTTTTACTTGTGTGATAATTTCACTGAATTTTCATTGACCAAAATAATATCATGATAATTTTCCAAGAGCATTTTGGTTACTAATTCTAATACATAACTGAAGAAAACATTTTATGTTGATATTACATTCATTTGTAGGTATTGGAAGTTAAAAAGTAATTTTCTTTTGCTAAAAATATGCATGATGGCATTTTCCTTGCTGCTCTGTGATAATATTTATTGGAACGAATGTGTTCTTCCTTTTGGGGTGTTGGTGTACAGAGTGGCAGCACTGAACAGCAACTGACAAGATTATTGTTTTTCTCACAGACAGTTCAGAGAAAAAGAAAACCTCCAGTCTGTCAATGGTTTTGATCTGGTTTCCCCAACTATCTTTTAATGTTCCTATTTTAATATTAATATTTTAGCACCTACTTTTAACATTAACATTTATTTACTGGTTCTGTGACACTGATAAGGTGGAGTTTGTGATCACTGTTTCTCCCTATGGCCCTCTTGATAAGGGAGTTTGTGCAGTAATGGTAGGTTTTGCACCCCTATTCTCTAATGTGCACTTTACTAATTAGATGGCTGGTATATAGCAACTCTGTACACCACTATCCTAGAAAGGGAAATGATAGTTTAATCTTAACTTGTTTGAATGAAGGATTTCAGGAGGAGTTGGTACGTGGGTAAAATATGTCCCCTTTACATCTCATGTTGTAGCCTACGTCAAATACCTTCATTGTGCGTGGAAGTAGGTCAGGTGACCACCTTGCACAGGCCATTGTTGCCTCATAGTCAGTCATTTTCTCTTGGCATTCATCATGATTTTACCAGTTCAAGTTGGACTTTTGTTTTAGTTGAATTTAAGCAGCTACAGATTAATCAAAATGTGATGGTGCCAAGAGAGACTGAGGAAGAATTGGGTGATGGCGTAAGTGCAAAAAAACAGCAACAAAAAACTAGTATGTCAATATATCACGAGACAGTGCAAGTTCCAGGTGGTCAGAGTAAACTTGTTTTAAAATCATTTTTTCACATGCATATATTGCATGAAACCTGTAAGGCTTAAACAAGATTAGCAATGATAATGATAATTATGAGGAAGAAAGGGACAAGTAGAAAGTCATTTTTTATGTTAGTGAATTGATGTAGTTTTAAAGAGGTTAAAGATTTACTACTACTTATGTTATTATATTTCTTTTAAAAAATGGAGAAAAAAGTATTAGGATGTGTTGGAAATATATATTCATTCAGTTTCATGTTGGTAGACTTACACTCATTCATATATTTTGGGCTCTAACTTTCTTTTATTGTCAACCATCATCAGTCAAGATGAATCTGCAGATGAGAAGAATCAAATTGTAATTACTGGCTTCTGCATATGAAAAGAGAGCTTATATTATAAGAATGAGTAACTCATATACACTGATAAATTAAAACAGTGGTGTTACGTTTATAGATACACCACTCTATCTTTTCCTTATGGTGTGTTCTTCAAGTATAGTTAGCATAGTAGATGTTAGAATCAGGAATCCACATGTGTACAGTTGTGGAAAAGAGCTTTTGACAGACTCTTGTGCTTCGTAGAGGCAATAGACATCATTTTCTCAGTCTTTACTCCTTTTCCAAGCTGTACATATGCATCCATACCTCTTACATGTACATACATAATCATAGACAGTAAGACCTGGCATAAGTGCATGGACAGCATTGATGCTTCTTTTGAATGCACTCTGAACCTGCGCTAATACATCTTCAGGAATAGCTCGGAGTCCTTGCTCTGGGAGTCTCATTGAGATAAACAAGCCGTAAAGACAAGGGTGACCTAACCTAACCTTTTGGACATAAGAATAACGCAGTGTACACACCAGTTTCTTCCGCTTAGGTTGTTTAGAAAGGAAGTCAAAAGGTTGTGTGTCTTTCTCATTTGAAAACAAAAGGAAGTTGAAAATGAAGAATGACTGATTTAAAAATTTATCCTGGCAATTAAGGGGAGGCCTTGTATGGTGTAAATAAAGAGACAAGGACTATGTTATGTCTCAGGTTGATCTTCAGTTTAATGTTTTTGTGTCCCTAGGTTCCTGCAACCAGACTTTTGTATCCATTTTTTTTCCTTTTGCCTCCCCTTTCTCCTTTCATTCTTTCCTTAATTTTTTTCTTTCCTTCTACCTACCCTTCCTTTCCTCCTTTTTTTTTTTCTTTTGTTCCTCTCTCCCTCCCTCCCTCCCTCCCTCCTCTCTCCTCCCTCCCTCCCTCCCTCCCTCCTCCCTCCCTCCCTCCCTCCCTCCCTTCCTCCTCCCTCCCTCCTTCCTCCTTGCCTCTCTCCCTCCCTCCCTCACTCCCTCGCTCCCTCCCTCCCTTCCTCCTTCCTCTCTCCCTCCCTCCTCCCTCCTCCCTCCCTCCCTCCCTCCTCCCTCCCTCCCTCCCTCCCTCCCTCCCTCCTCCCTCTCCTCCCTCCCTCCCTCCTCCTCCCTTCCCTTCCTTCTCCTTCTCCTTCCTTCCTTCCTTCCTTCCTTCCTTCCTTCCTTCCTTCCTTCCTTCCTTTTTCTTCCTTCTTTCTTGCTATTGATTATCTGTGCATCTTCTCTGTCTCTCTCTCTTACTGATTTCTCTTTTCATACCCGTTGAAGTAAAGTGTGTATTGCATCCTTTTAACCCCTATGACTTGGATGATATGACCATCTTGTTATGAAAAAAATTGACTGGAAGGGAGGGTGATGTGAGAATGCTATCATGGAGGAATTTGGCAGTGGGCTAAGTTGGTAGGAACTTGCTATCATGAGATATGCGGCTGAAGGCAGAAATGATGGAAATTACTTGCCACGAGTGCACAAAGCTCTATGAGAGATATTAAACTCAGTAGTTATTAAGAAATAGGATCTTGCAATGTTGCTGTCAGTTAAAGTGTGTGGAAAGTATCGTCTGTGAGCCATGACTAGAAGAGCGCTGACTCCAGGAAGGACACTATTTTACATGATCAGAATCCTATTCCTGTCCACCATGATCAACAGCAGCAGATTGAATATTATGAAAAGATTAAAAAGGACATAATAACATTGTTTTCTTATTATTGCACCGATTTATGGATTACCTAGGGAAATGATATGGAGTTTATGTAAAGAAAATAGTCTATTACCATCTGGATAAAGCATATATACAATTATGTATAATATTCAATTATGTAGAAAAAGAGATAATGATATTGATACTACCCATGAGCGTTATTACGCACCTGGCCTGCAAGCTACACATGCGAAAGTGGTCACTCTAATAAGCCTAATGCCCAGATTTTGGCCCATGTGCTGTCAGTAAAGCACTAGGATCCATGGGATTAAAAGTTCCTAGTTCTTGAGGGTGAGCTTGCACCCTGAATGGGTAGAATTTTTCTCTCTCTCTCTTCTCTCTCTCTCTCTCTCTCTCTCTCTCTCTCTCTTCTCTCTCTCTCTCTCTCTTCTCTCTCTCTCTCTCTCTCTCTCTCTCTCTCTCTTCTTTTCAGTTATTGATTTAATTGTATACCTTAATGCATAACTTTTTGGGCATAATAGCCTTGTTTATTA